AGCCTGTTCCGATCGTAGATTTGAATCCAGTGCATCTTTAAGCCTCTCCAGGATGATGCGGCTTAATATTTTGCTTTGGGTGGACAGGAGAGTGATTCCCCACCAGTTCTTGCAAACACTGAGGTCTCCCTTCCTCGGGAGTTTGACAAGGTCACCCTTCTTCCAATCGCCAGGTACCTTCTCTTCCATCGACACCTTCTGCAATAGTGGTGTCAGCATGTCGGCTGTTGTCTCTGCGTCTGTTTACAGTGCTTCTGGTGGGATCTTATCTGGTCCTGCTGCTTTCCCACATTTCAGTAGCTTTATGGCATTCAGGGTTTCCATTTTTGTCGGAGGATTTATGTTCACTTATAGTTCTGTGGCTGGACAGTAGGTGGTATTTCTGGACGAAGTGCAGGTGGTGGTGGTGGTCGACTCAAGAGTTTTTCGAAGTGGTCGGCCCATTGTTTTCTTTGTTTCTCTTCTTTGGTAATTAGATTTCCTTCATCATCATTTAATTGGTTTCATCTGTGTTGATCTCTGCTCAGATAGTAACTTGGTTATTTGATACAATGTTGTCAGGTCTCTGTCTCTCCTACAAACAGCCTGTTCTGCTTCACTTGCCAATGTGTTGCAGAAGTGTCTTTTGTCTTTGCGCGCACTCTTCTTCACTTCCTTGTCCAGTGTTTTGTATGTTGTACTCAGTTCCTCTTCTCGTCGTTCATCTTTGCACTGGTTCATCTTCTGTTTCATCATCTACCTGCTCTATCAGCTTCCATGTGTCCGTTGAGATCCATTCCTTATCTTCTTTCTTCTTCCTTCCTAACACGGTTATGCAGGTTTCTTTCTACATCTCTTTCAAAAGTTCCAGTGTTCATCCACACAGGTTTCTTCAGGGATGTTGCTCGATATCTCCTATTTTGTCTTGATGGCTGCCGTGAAGATTTCGTTTCTAGTTTCATCCTTCAGTTTCCGAGTGTTCTACTTGGACTGCGGTCTATCACCAGCTTCCTTGAAGGCTTTTAACTTGGTTTGGAAGGTTTCCTTGCGCTAGATGAGGTCTGGGCCTACATCTGCTCCTCTTCTTGACCGTGTGTCAAGTAGACTGCGTCTCCACTTTCTTGAGATTGAGATGAAGTCGATCTGATTTTCAGTGTAGTGTGTCCTGGTGTCTGGTGAAATCAAATCCATGTCGCCTTGTGGATATCCTTGTGCTTGAACACACTGCCTCGCCTCCAATCACCAAATCGTTGAATGCACACAATTCTGCAAACAATTCTCCATTCTCGTTCATCACCTCACCGAGCGCTTCTCGACCCAAGGTTAGTTCTCTTCCTGTGTTGTCCCCTCCCACTTTGGCATTCATGTCGCCACACCCATTAGAATTTTGATATTGCCAACTGAGGCGGTGTCTTGTCCAGTGTTGATTGGAGTTGTCTGTAGAATTCCTCCTTTTTCTCTTGCTCTGCATCATTTTTAGGTGCGTAGTTTAGCATTGCATGATTGTGCCTTTCTTCCTTTTGACTTGAACCTTGCTGTCATGATCCAACTAGAGGAGATTGGTTCCCACTGCATGAGAGCCTTCGATGCTGTTGGGGACATCATGATAGCCACTCCATAACTCAGTATCCTCGTGGTTTTCGCCTGCGTGACCATATCGGAGTAGATTATTGATTCTCCAGTTGACAGTTTGGAGAGTCCACTCCCATTCCATCTGCTTTCGCAAATCCCAAGCACTTCAGTGTGATACCTCTTCATCTTGTTTGCAATCTAGGCTGCCTTGCTGGGTTCAAACATCGTGCGGACATTCCATGTCCCCCCGTGTATTTTCGCTTTCATCGAGAGAGAGGAGATACATCGCCAATTGGCTTCTCGAGGGTGGGCTTTCACCAACTGGCGTCATTTCGCCTCTCCGATTCCAGTGAGGAATAATTTTGTTAAGATTATTTTATATATTTCGTTTGTGTTTTGAAGTTTCTTTAGCGGTTAAATTTGTTTTACGGTGTAGGGTTGCTAGTCGTATGCCCAACATTCCCTGTTTACCCGGGCTTAGGACCGGCTAGTAACTAGTGAACTAGTTAACGAGGCGAGGTTGTGTGCAGACTATTGCACATTTAATGATTTGGTGGTTGGAGGTAGTGTGTACAAACACAAGTATATTCACGAAGTGACACGGATTTCAACAGACACCAGGACACACTAAATTGAAAATCTGAGGAAAGTGGAGACACAGCCTACTGTATACAAGATGAGATGAAGAAGGGGAGCAGATGTAGGTGGTTCACACCACGCACTGTCTATCTAGTGCAAGGAACCTACCTGCAAAATCAATTTGAGAGCCTTCATAAAAGCTGGTGATGATTGACCACAGTTGAAGTTGAACACCGAGAAAAGAAGGTGAACGGAAGGACGAAACAATAAGGGACATCTGCATACCAGCTAACTGGGAAGAAATTGGAGACATAAGGCAGCATTCCCGAGGAAATCTGCGTGGAAGAACACTAGAACTCTTTGAAAGAGACGTGGAAGGAAACCTGCATGACCGTGTTAGGAAGGAAGAAGAGGCAAGACAAGGAATAGATGTCGATGGATACACGTAAGCTGATAGAGGAGGGAGAGGAAGACGGTGATGGTGATGGTGAAGCAGAAGATGAACCAGTGCAATGCAGTCCAGTGCAGGGATGAAGAACGAAAGGAGGAACTAAACACAACCTGTAAAACACTACACTGAGCAAAGATGTGAATAGGAGTGCACGGAAACACAAAAGACGCTTCTACAACACATTGGCGATAGAAGCAGAATAGGCTGCAGGTAGGAGAGACAGAGACCTGACAACTGTATGCCAAATAACCAGGTTACTATCTGGGAGAGGAGAGATCCACGCAGATGATACCAGTGAGATGGTGAAGGGAAGCTAGTTAGCAATGAGAAGAAACGAAGGAAACGATGGGTTGACCACTTCAAGAAGCTCTTGAATCGACTACCACCACCACCTGCAACTCGTCCAGAAATGTCACCAGCAACCACTCAATTACCAGTGAACACAAGCCATCCGACAACAGTAGTAGTGAAGTCCTGAACGCCACAAAGCTACTGAAATCCAGAAAAGCAACAGGACCAGATGGAATTTCACCAGAATCACTGGAAACAAATGTGTAGGCAACAGCGGACATGCTCACAGCACTATTGCAGAAGGTTTGTAAGGAAGGAAGGAAGGAAAGATGCCTAGCGATGGATTGGAAGGAGAGCTATCTTGTCAAACTCTCAAAGAAGGGAAACCTAAACGTTTGCAAGAACTGGTGAGGAATCATGCTCCACTTCTGTCCACCACAAGTAAGATGTAAAGCCACATCATCCTGGAAGGAGACTAAAGAATGTGCTGGATTCAAATTTACGACCAGAACAGTTTGCTTGCTTGCTGGCTGGCTGGCTGGTTGGTTCCAGGAAGAACAAATCATGTGAGGATTGAATTGCAACGCTACCCTGCACTACGCATCATCATAGAACAGAGTATAGAATGACAGTCAACTGGATCACCACCTCAACTTCATCGATTTTGAGAAGGCTTTCGACAATGTCGACAGTGTCGACCGAGAAGTAATTTGGCAAGCAGCTGCCTCAACACTGTGGTTTTAGTTCCACAAACCTTTATCAACCTCATTCAACAGCAACTATATGCCATATGATGCTACATGTTAGGTGATTGACAATGGAAAGCTCAGTGATGATGCCTTTGAAGTGAAGGAGGGGGACGGGGGTAAGACGAGGCTGCCTACTATCTGTCAGTGATGATCTTCCTGATTGTTGTGGACTGGATCTTGCAGCAGACAACTGTGAGTGTGATGAGTGAGAAGATGGGCATACGCTGACTGGACCGATGAAAAGACCTGAGAAGATGATTTGGATTTCGTCGCCGCCGTTTCCGGTGATGATGATGATGATGATTTCTGTCTAATGTCTTATGGCACAAAGTGGAAGTTGTACAGGCGAAAACTAGCAAGTTGACAGGAGAGATGAGTCAGGGGAGGGGAGAGGGGACTTCAGGTGAATGTAGAGAAGATTTAGGTGATGTAGCATCAACAACAGGCACCAATCACCAATAATGGGAGAAACCTAAAGGAAGTAGTCTGTCACACCTACACAGGCAAGGCAGCATCGTTTCAACTAAAGGTGGTACAGATGAAGACGTCAAAGAGGGGATCGGAAAGACAGTGAGACAGGCTTTCATTGATCTGAAATCAGTGTAGATATCTGCTGCACTGCACTGCACTGCACTCAGCATAAAGGGTGAACAAAATCCGGATTTTCAACATCATTGTCAAGTCTGTGCTGCTTTATGGTTCAGAAACCTGGCGTGCCACGAAATCCACTTCCAACAAACTACAGACATTCATAAACAGCTGCCACCTACACTCACTACATACTGACACTGAAGATCAGATGACCAGAATACTAAGAATTAGCAACAAGGAACTCACTGTGACTGACTGGCTGGCTGGCTGGCTGGCTGTCTGGCTGTCCGGGAACGAACCAACCAACAACCCATCACCCACGAAGTATGCAGAAGAGATGTGGAGGTGTATAGTGTATAGTGTATAGGGCATACAATGAGAAGGCCGATTGGATATATCACGTGACAGGTCAGGCCAAGCCAGTCCAGTCCATGTCAGACCGTTGAGTGGAATCTGGATGGTGAACGAGGAGTTGGGCGTGCGAGGTGAGGGTGACATGGAGGGGATATTGTGAGGAGGAGATGAAAGGTTGTGGGCAGTGTTTGAGGGAGGTAGAAGAGACTGGAGATAATGGAGTGGAATAGAGGTGTGTTACTGAAGCCTTATGTTCCACATGGAACCTAGGGTACAAGTAATATTAAATGATAAATATGTATGTTGGCGCACATGCACACATGTATTCTCAATTTCTTCAGGTAAACTACGTCTTGTAATTGCGTTTTCCAGAATATCATTCGGGAATCAACCTTTATGTGATTATCGGGAATGTAAATTTCGCTAAGACTTACATTCAGTATCAGGCGGCGAGTAAATTGCTGTTACTGGTGGTGGTTGTTCATTCTTTTTCCGTTGGTTTATTAGCCGATGATAACGAATAATGTGGTCTGTCACCAAGATAACAATCACTGTTATACATAAACAAAGCAAAAATAAATAAATAATATGGTTTACTGTTGAATAAATATAAGTTTATTGAGCTCAGAATATGGTTAAAACTGAAATAAAGTATGACTAGACCAGATCGTGACAAATTATTCCGAAGAGTGTGTTCTAAGAAAATTAGTCTTGAGTAAAATCAGTCAATAGATTCAGGTAACAGACATATCATGACTTCTAATCCTTTTGGAATCATTCAAATTTTCAGAAGCTGAATTTACAGACTAATATCATAGTAAATCTATTCATTTGTGTTGTTATTAGTCACAGTCCTATTGCAACCTACATCTGTTTTTATTATGTTGATGTTCTATGTTACAAGATAGTTTCTCTTTGTTCGCTGTTTATATCGAGTGAAATATAATTTTCAGTCAAAAAATCATTACCAATGATGCATGTCATCAACACTATATACTTTGCGTACAAAGAATGCAAGAGCAAATTCGAGTAGGTTTTTTTTATGTCTAAACTGCTTGCCCAATGGAAACAGCTTTGCATTTTCAAGTGGTCTGTGAGTTGTAACATAGTATTCTTAAGTGTCTGGATAGTCTATCACCTATGTACTATCATTAAAGTGGTTTGTTATACGTCCTACCTTTTACCATTCAGTTTTTTCAGTGATATATTTTAATTTTCAAAAAGTAATCTGTGGTTTGATTTCTTTCGGCTTCTCATTTGTCCAACTCTTGGTAATTCCTCATCTTCTCCAGAGTGAATGGAAACACTAAGTACACTTTTATGTTTCCGGGTAAACTGGTACTTTATACGTTAAATATTAATTTATATAACACTGTCGTGAGTTTACTGGTTCACTGTCTTCTGCATTAGTGCAGATGCTTTTTGATCCAGAACATTTTTTCTCTCCTTCTTGTGAAGGAAAAATCATGCTATTATAACTGTTTGAGGAAATTAAACTTTACGTGACTTCATATTTCGTGAGAACTACAGAATCATCATTCCAGCTTCAGGCAAGATGTAAGACGCTCCCAAATGGTGTTCACAACTGGGATTTATGACTCAGATATTGTTATGAAAGTGTGACTGCTAGCCACTTGAATTTATTAATAACAGTATTGTTTAACTGATTCTAAAATTAAAAATTCTTGATAACTTCACTTCTTTCTACTTTTACATCTCTGACAAAAACAACTGCGAATAGGTTCATTAACTTAACCTTACCTGATAGAAAATTTCTCTACCGAAATCGTCAAGAAAATTCGTTCATTTGATGATTGCTTGAGTAGTGTTAAGGGCATAATAACTGATAAGGGCACATTAGACAGGAAGTCACTTCAATTAATTTGCACATACAGGTTATTTCTTTGCATGTTCGTTTTTGATAAGCGTGAAACACTTTTTTGTTATTGCTTGTTTTTTACTGTTGTTGACTGAACCGAATTGATCGGTCCCTGTTGGCATCTGGCATCTGGGCTCCTGAATAGATGTCTCGATATTGCGTGTGTTATAATTATGTAGTAGTGATGGGTAGTGGCTAGCAGTGGAATCCAGAATGCGCACTTCGTCCTGTTTGAGACTCGTTGGCTGGATGTATTCGAGACTTTGAATCCCGGTGGGTACAACATCACTTACTAGGAGGCAGGTACATCCCACTGACGAGTCCCAAATAGGACGAAATGCACATCCTGGATTCCACTGCTAGTCACTATCCATCATTACTACAGAATTAAGAAACACTTTTATGTTTGTGAAAAAGAAACGTGAAACGTGAACCGAAGGTGTCACACCTAAATGCAAATGTATAACTTCAAATGACAATATTTATTGCTAAGCTAAATATCGAATGTTGTAACTTGAAGTCCACTTGCAATGACTGATAAACATTGTTTAGCTTATTTTAACCAGGCAAAATGTTAAATGATGACTGGTTTATAAGGTCCGAAATCAATGACTGTTTTTCTTGAATTACCTGGGAAATATGCAGCAGAAAATGGTGTAGATAAGCGGGTTCATTTACAGAGAAATATAATGAATTATTTAAAATCAAAAGTCATACAGTCTTGGTTGACTGTCATTGACTTTGTTGAGTTGTGAAGCGGGTGATCTAGCTACTTGTGGATAGGACACCTACAATTACTATCAGTACGTTGACTACCACATTAAATAAGCAAAACTTTTACCAGGTATGCAAAAAAACTCGCGCAATCTTTGAGCCTTCCTCTAGACTGTTTTTTAAGCCGACATTAACATAAAAATATACAGAAACATCGGCTACTACTTAAAGGTCTATACTGAATATAAAGTCTAGTTTAGGTCATTAACCTTTGAGAGATATTTAGCTGATACCATATACCATAATATTCCTTTTATTGCTACGTAGTATTTAATCAGTGACATTTTTAAAACTGCGTCACTCGGATTTATTCATATCTGTAACTTCTTATTGATAATTATGTTAAACCAATGGTGATAAGTCTTCTGATATATGAGCACCTTAGAGGGCCATCTCAGTTTTGCCTTGCATTTCATTCACATATAATTTGCTTGTCCTAGAATAGCTAGTAATCAAGAAGATATTGAAAGTTTCCTTGAAAAAAAATTGTTGACTGTTGTACAAGGGACGCTTTTCATGACCTAGTGGATAATGCATTAGTCTTTAAAGCAGTGGGTGCTAGGTTTTAGTTTCAGTGTCAGCACCATCATCTACCGGAATACAAAGGAGTTCAGACAATTAATCAACAGTGGGACCATAAGTATGCGTGGATCTTGCTCCTACCCACAACTAAGCAAATTACTAGATGTCTAATGTTTTATTACCATGTCCTGCTTGTCTTTTGCGTCATTTAACTTCCTAGCTAGCAACAGTCATCAGTAGTTACGGTGGTCTTACTTAACACTCGTGTAACATTTGAAATATGCTTCAGTTATCTATAAATTTAATGTCGGATACGTTATCAAATTAGGCAGTGAAGCGTTCATGATAACATATCAAGACACACAGAACGCTGAACCATCTTCTTCTTCAGAAATTATTTACACATGGGAAGAGCAGTTTTAGCGTCATCCCAGTATACATTAGACAGTACTACTTTTGGACTAATTAATGGAATGACAGTCTTTGCACGATCGATAAATTCAGTTTTTCCTCTTTTCTACTTTTAGGGCTTCTAATATTTCTCTTCTAGCAATAACAGTAAAAATGAATTGTATTTATTCTATACAAAGACTAGCCTACAAGAAAGTAATGTATCTCAGTAATGAATGTTTTTCATATTTTTATTTATTCTAAATAATCGATAATATGTAAGAAGTAGACCATTGTAAAAAAATAAAACATCATTACTGTTTTATGGACACTTTTTGATCATTAAATTTTAATTATTTGTCTACATATAAGTGAAGAATATTAAATGTTGGAGATTTCATTTGAGTCAGTGAACACGCGTTCTGCTCTAAAATCAAGTAATATCTTCAGAGAGATGTGTAAATGTTGTTCGCTTTGATGATGCATAAATGCTAAATGAAAAATGATACATTAAAGTCAGGTATTATTGAAGAAGCCGTTTATTATCGCGGTAAAATTATGCACTGTACCAGCTGATGTGTTGCAGTCTTGTACTCATATGAATTCACATGATCGACACTTCAGCATTAATCTGGTTCTCGTCAGATTCAAAAATACTTCAGATAGTGTTTAAAGGTTCACTTGCTGCAGTCGATTCAGTTAAAAAGGCCACATAAAAAAATTCAACACAGAAATAGATTTTCATCTTTTGAAGTGCATTACTATCTAGAGTTGATTTTGACACTTTCAAAGCTTGAAAACCTGGTTAATCCGGGTTACCTGACTTCACTACAATCTACTTTCAAAATTACCTAGTGTTGAACTAAATGGTTCCGAAGGATTACAGTTTTGCAGTTTGCGCAATGACAGAGACACTAACTGGTGTCCGATTCAAGGTCAAGGACTTGTGTTTAGGTCATTTTTGTGTTATGGACTAATTTCCTCATGATCCCGATATTATAAATGTCTGTCAGTTATTATTTTCGTCGAGATTGTTGTTTCCTTCTTCACACCATTTCAATCTATCAAGCGTGAACCGCATATGAAGGAACATTTCTTACGTTATTATATTCCTTGAGTTATTAACGACTTCTAACACTTTGCGTATTAAACAATCTCTGCCTTCCTCTAGAAATACTTTTTTTCTCATTTCGAATACTAAATTGTTGAGACGATCCTACTGATAATAGATTTTTAATTGTTCCCGATGCTTACAAATACAGTTATACAGCTTTTAGTAGATGACATCATCGTGAGAAGTTACCTAAGCTACATTTTAATTCTCTTTCCTCTTCTTTATTCTTTTCACCTGTGGCTTGGAAAATTGCTGAAGACAATTTGGTTTTCTACTCTAGACAGAGCAAATAGAGAATATATTTGACCCTTATTTTGGAGTTAAGCTACTGCTGATCTTTCACATCACCAAAAAAGACTCAAAAATATGTTATGTAAGATCAATGAGGTTCACTATGCTTTCTTTTCATATTGCTCAATATCACCACAAAACTACAAGTACGAAAGTCTTGTCATCTGACATAGGTCTAATATTATACAGGTTATGTGATTGGGTGGTGATTTCAAGCTGTTCAAATTAACAGTTTATATAAAATTTGGAAGGCATAAAGTTGCTACCAAATGCTGATGAACTGAGACAGAAAACAAAATATTTATTTGAAATTCAGTATGAATAAATCTTCAGCACCCTAAATACTTTGAAAACATGTTGTTTTTCGGAAATGATGCGACTGTATCAATTTTTTTCTGGCTGTGATTATTACTTGCTATTTTTCCTAAAAAACCAAAGATTTTATTGAATTTATTTTTTTTCGATTTGGTACAACATAATAATATTATACGTCACCACTTCTTTATAACATTGTAGTTCACCAACACTGTAGATGTGACATAAACATTCGGCGATTAACCCTGGCATGTGATCAATGCTAT